CTCACAGCTTGGCCCCAAGGTTCTTACTGTCTCACCTCACAGCTTGGCCCCAAGGATCTTACTTTCTCACCTCACAGCTTGGCCCCAAGGACCTTACTGTCTCACCTCCATGCTTGGCCCCTCAAACCTGTCAGGGCTGGGGTCAGAGTTCACGAGTGTGACGTCACGGTTTACGACCCCCGCTGGTCAATGGGAGACTCTGGGATTTACGACAACCGAGTGCCTGTGCTATCGGCCGGTTCCGATTTATTGGATCTGTCAGAGAGAGATGTGTCTGTGAGAGATGTGTATACCACAGAACTTGTCTCTCGTTATAGCTGGTTCACATTGGCCATGTAATACTTTCAATTTATTTAATACATTCGACTTATTTGATACATTCGACTTATTTGATACATTCAAGTTAGTAATTATTTGTACCAGAAAATCGTCACTACCCTTCGCCTAACCTACTCTAGCTCCTACCTCTCTGTCCTTGTCTCCTCATGGGACCTTGGGTACATAAGGCCCTAGTGTCGCTTTGATCGTTCAGACTTCAATAATGACATTCTGGGTGATTGATACCTTCTTCCCCCAGTTCCCACGATCGTATGAATATGCTAAATCTTTGCACTCTCAAGCGTCTATAATTAACACAAAAGATTCGCTTCTCAATATCTTTGGTAGGGAACTTACAAGTCACGGACTTGTACGATTTTGGGGATAACAAGGTGTTGGAAACGTCGGCCTCACGCCAAGGTTCCCTACAGGATGCTACACTGGGCAGTGGCGTGTCCAGAACAATACAGTTTGTGACAGTTTGTCATTTCGCTTCTCGTAGTGGTAGAGGCGTCCAGGGTACTAATTGTGCCAGATATTTACGAGCCACGAGCCCTCTGGCTTCACATTGTTACATATTTGATACATTCGAATCAGATTGCTACACTCGGGACTGGTCCGACTTTCCTGCAAGGCGGAAGTCGTAGAGTTGCCTTTTTGGATACAAATCCTCCGAAATCAAAAATAGTCTTCGTTTTTTGGAGGATTGGATCAAATTGTGTCAAAATGAATGTGTTTGGTATTGGAGGATTTGAATAAATTATGCTGAAATGGCACGTTTTGCTTCTCAATTACATTAAGGGAAATCTTGGTGGGTCCCGCTCGTGTCAAATGAAATAAATGTCACAAACAGGCGACGCGCTCAGCTACGTTCAGAGAGACACAACACGAGCATTCACTCCAAGAATCGGAGCAAAAAGTCAGTGGCAATGTCTCTCTTTGCTGCCACCGATCTGTCGTCTGCAACAGTTGAGTCGGTCAGAGCAACCTCACAGTCATCCTGGATAGGTCCTCTGGTAACCTCACAGTCACCCTTGATATGTCCTCTGGTAACCTCACAGTCACCCTTGATATGTCCTCTGGTAACCTCACAGTCACCCTTGATATGTCCTCTGGTAACCACTCAGTCACGCTGCATTAAGGCCCGGTTACACGCTACGATAAATTGTACAAAACTGGACGATCTATCGATCATGAGACGAATCGTCAGGTGTAACAACAAAATTGTACCAAGTTTGGACGATTGGACAATGGCTTTGGGAATCGGTGGATAAACCAAGAGCTGCTTGATATTTTCCGTGCAATCACGGTCACACTTGAGGGAGACGCGCTGTGACGTAGCATCACTTTAAAATTTGCCGCCGCGCAGGATTAAACTTAGACTAGGTAAAAAATGATTTCATATTCGGAATCAGCGTCTCAAAATAAACAAAGTAGCTCGCGGGGAACCTGATTTGATGCGTTTTTAAAGTATATTTTAGCTATTTTAATTTTTAGTGGATCGTCAATGGTGAAGTTGTGTATCAAGGTCACCCGGTGCGTTGCACATCTGCAGTCAAGTCAATGACTAGGAATCTTCCTGATCTAAAGAAAACTGGGCGATAGATTGGAACGTGTAAACAGACTACACAGCTCGATAAAACGGACAGTTCTCGCATACGACGAATCTGACACAATTTATTGTTGCGTGTGACCGGACCATCAGACCTCTAGAAGGTACAATGTCCGAGACAGTCGTGTGACCGGACCATCAGACCTCTAGAAGGTACAATGTCCGAGACAGTCGTGTGACCGGACCATCAGACCTCTAGAAGGTACAATGTCCGAGACA